ATTGCTGTACGTACGTAATTGCACGTTCTCTCCTAGGGAAAATCAGGAAAAGTTTGTTTACAAAGACTTGCAAAGTCATCGATCCAGTCATTAGTCATGTTCTTATACTGCATTACAGTTTAATAAATGGCAATTTGCCAATTTATTTTGTTATAATGTTTCAAACTACATTTAAGGCTCCTTTCCTTACCATTGATTTGGAGATTAGAATTGTATTGCAATTAAAATCTTGTGGAATTGAATTGGAACGTCATGATGTTTTGATTCAATCACAAACTACACTTGTATTTCGTGATAGAAGGGTTAATAAAAATTTATTCGATGCATGTTGCCATCTGATGAAGCTATATGTATTTTTTTAAAATTTTTTTTCACTTTTTTGGTATATGGCCAACCAAAACTATACTAGTTCTTCTGGAAAAAACATTTCTTCAAACTAAACTAAATTTTAACACGAATTGTATTAATTCTAAAGTTCTGAATTTAATATAAATTTTTCACGCAAACAAACTATTATGAGTCCTAGAGTAATGTTATTTACTCGGAATTGCAAACTCGCCGTTTTCATCGACCTAAAAATCAACACATTTTTTTTAATATTTAATTTGTAATATTAAAAAAATTTGTAAAAATGAACTTTTTTAACATTCAAATTCTTTATATTATGCTATAAATAATGTTGATGAGCGAGGTATCGATCTAAGATTTTAGGTAACGGAGAGAGAGAAAAGGGAGAAGAAGACATATATCTTTTCAATATTTGGAAAAAATGAATTTCATTCATCAAGTCAACTCAATAATTGGGTCTCTATCCTACTTATATACATGACCAATAGTAAAGAAGGAATGACTAATCTGCCCTAAACCATCAGTATACACAATTCTTAACCCAAGGGTACATCTGTCCAACTGCACACGTCTACATTATTTACAGCATCGTCTATAGATTTGTACACTTCATGTGTATATACAGAATTTACAACATGGGAATCAACCAATGATTCCTTCACCACCCCCTCAAGATGAACCTGGGAAGACCAAAGGTGCATCTTGGACAACAAATAAGAGAAAGCCGGGGCTGCAAGAGCCTTAGTAAAGAGATCAGCTGGCTGTTCAGAAGAAGAAATATGCTGAGGATCAATAAAGCCACTCTTATAGGCATCCCGAACCACGTGCCAGTTAATTTCGATGTGCTTGGTGTGCTCGTGGAACACCAGAATCGCCGTAATATACATGGCAGCTTTGCTGACGCACCAGAAAGGAATAGGCAAAGAAAGAGGAACACATAAATCTGTCAGAATATAAGAGACCCATTTAAGTTCTTGAACAGTGGCTGCCATAGCCCTGTACTCAGCTTCAGCTGAAGAAGTCAAAACATTCATTTGCTTTTTAGTATTCCAAGAGATCAAACAGTCTCCCATCAGAAAAAGCTGTCAAAACATTGCTAGAACAAGAAGAATAAAACAGACCCTGAGACTGAGAACCATTCAAGTACCTTAACAAATGCATGGCTGCATTCCAACAAGACTCGTGAGGGGAGTGAACGAACTGACTAAGCTGCTGAACAACGTACGTCTGATCAGGTCTCGTGAACCCTAAATAAAGAAGGCGACTAACAAGTCTCCTGTATGCAGCATGATCTGAACAAAGAGGAGTTGGATACTGTTTTGGGAATTTCAAGTCACTAGGAAAAGGAGTAGAAGCAAAGACAGAATCAAGCATACCAGTATCCTGAAGAAGATCCTTAACATACTTGGTCTGACTAAGATACATGCCACTGCTACTTCTAGCAATTTGCATACCAAGAAAGTACTTCGCTAAGCCAATATCTTTAACTTTGAACGCCTTATCTAACAGCTGTCTAACTTTAACAATTTCAGCATCATCTGACCCAGACAGAATGATATCATCCACATATACAAGCAAGATAATATAAATCCAGGTTTGTGAAGCACAAGAGACACGAATCACTATAAGATTGCTTAAAACCATAAGTGACGAGTCATAAATTAACCCTAGGCCTATTGGGCCTAGGATTAGATTATTTGGAGATTAAGCCACCGCCTAAACCTATTCCGCTAGGGTTTCAGGAAACAGGTAACACCACCTCTATATAAAGAGGTGGTGCCTCTCTCATAATTCATATCTTCTACCCATCTTCTACACCTTCTACACACGATACACATCTCTCTCTCTATTATCTCTATTCCCTTATTGACTTAAGCATCAGAGAGTCTACCCTCGAGAGACACCCAAGGCTGTGTCTTGTAGGTTTTTGGCCGTCCGCCGCCGCTTAGGTCATCATCGCTGCCCATCCTAAGCACCGTACAAATCCCTGCTTCGTCAACTGGCACGCCCAGTGCGACTGATTTGTTTGGTTTTCATAACCAAATAAATTTCTTAGCGAAGCACGGAATCTTTTGTATCTTTCACAGCCAAGGTGTTAATTCGTTGCTCCGATTTTGCAACAAGAAGATCACGCAAAAAATTATCTTTGTTTGGCCAAGAAGACATCAACCGACAAGTAGCACAAAGAAACTTTCAATTGCACAAATAATCGAGGAGCTGCACTTGCTCCACAGCTGATCGAGAAGAACATCTCCTCGAAGGGGCAACAATCCCTCAAGCACCATATTACTACAGAAGTGTTCGAGAAGATACATCTCCTTGAAGGGGCAAGCATCTCTCGAACACCATACTACTACTCGAAATGTTCGAGAAGATGTATCTCGACTTTTATCTACTCAACTACTACCTTCTCGGAATCGAAGTAACACTTTCTCGAATAATCAATTTATTACGAGATCGAGATACTTCTAAAACCTTTTCATGCTTTAATATCTGATACCATTATCATATTACTATCATATCACGATATCTTTTTGAGCACGATCAAAGGAATCTTTTGAGGAACCAACCCTCTAGGGAAAATTTCCATCACCCTGCAATGAGGAAAATCACCTCGGGGCTGCCATCAACGAGGAAAACGTACTCGAGGCACAAACTAGAAAAAACTCTAGGGGCAAGGAACTTGAGAGATCATCCTAACATTCCCTGCTTGAACGAATATTCCTTCGGAGCATCTTATTACTACATGTTATTATTATCTTGTATTGCATTTCAATGATCTACACACTCGCAGTCCACCGTGCAAAAAAGGATACCCGCGGTACTCGCGGTCCACCGCGCAACCAAGGAACTCTCTAACACAAAGACCTCCTCGAGGCATTCTATCTCTCTTTATCTTATATAGATGACACCCGAGAACAAAAGAGTTCGAGAACTGGGGCAACACTACGAAACTCGAGGAAACATCAACACTCGTAGCAAACCATATTGGGCCTAGGTCAGAAAGTATTTTTTGAGTTTCAGAACCTAAAAACTCAGAACCATTATCGGTTCGAAATATTTGAATAGTCTGTTAAAACTGATTCTTGATCAAAGCAAAGAAATGCAATAAAGTTGCAGGAACTTGAGTCTTGTAATTTTAACCAAAAAAAAAAAAAACCCAAGTAGATCTACTGTAATCATCAACTAAGGTGAGAAAATATGTTGCATGAGTTAAAAAAGGTTGCTTATAGGGTCCCCACAAGTCAACATGCAACATTTCAAAGCATCGAATAGATTGAATATGAGTCAAAGGAAATGAACTGCGATGCTGTTTAGATAAAGGACAAACATCACAAAAAGGCAAAGAATTTTTATTGACAAAATGCTTACAAGCAGAGATATGTTTTATTACATTCTACGAGGGATGACCTAGATGATTATGCCATGTAACCACACTTACATTGGCACTAATCTGAGAAGAATCTAGGGTTTTATTCGATCTATCAGTATATTGAACTCGCCTAGAAATCGAAAGAAGTAAATTTGAATATAGAACTTGAGATTTCTGTATCGCTTCTTTAGTGAAAGAATATGAAGTAAGGATGTATAGTTCTCTGACAACCATGCTTGCCCCAAGGACCTTGTTAGTCTTCAGGTCCTATAACAAGTAATAGTAATCAAAGACCTTGAAGTAAATGCCAGTTTGGGCTAACTTTCGAATAGAAAGAAGGTTATGCTGAAAGGAAGGAACATGTAAGACTGATTCTAAGGTAATACTACCAGATAGTACAACATCTCCTATATGTTGTACTTCTTTAATACTTCCATCCGGTAAGTAAACAGGTGTATAAGAGCTAACAGATTTATAAGTCGTAAAAATAGATAAAGAATAGTACATATGACCCATAGCACCCGTATCACTTACCCAAACAGTATAACCAAAAACAACCAAATTAGAAATAAGACGAGAGATCATAAAACTACCTACAAACTCAGTAAAGTGAGCATAGTTCACTTTATGTCCAGTTCCAGCATCTGCAGTTACGCGTTTGCCTTTCAAGAGTTTCCCAACTTCTGATTGAACCAGATTTCTAAGAATGGACTGCCAATTCCCACCACCTTGTATCTGCCAGTTGGACCCAGGAGACTGTGTAGATGACATGGCAGTATCACAGACAGACTTCACTTTGCTGAGACATTATTCTGCACTGGCCAAGTCGATGACTGGCTTGAAGCAGCTCCCCAGGTTAACTTCGCAATCTCAGAATCCAGGGGAGTATTCACCAGGTGCGCCGAATGAGTATTGGTTTGTCCTTTCCCTTTCAGAGTTGGCCACCACTCTAGAAACCCTTTGAGGAGAAAACAATCATCCTTAAGATGCCCAGGTCAATGACAATGTGTACATTGCATCTTCATCTTCTGTTTCTTAGCAAGAATCTCTTGCTCCTTAAAACTCAGTTCCGGCTACCAGACAGGTGCTACTCGAGCAGGTTTTGGCAACAAAGGTTTCGACAGCAGTGCCACATTCTCTGGTTGTAGTACCAACTGACTGCTAACTGTTCTCTGTGTTTCCTCCTTCAGCAACATAGCAAAAATAGTATCTAGGGCTGGCAGTGGAATCATTCTGAGTATCTCGTTTTGAATTGAGTCATAGCAGTCGTTTGGTCCCATCAGTAACTGATACACCTTATCCTCTGTAATTTGTGCTTCAAACTATTGTTACCATTAAATTTACAAGCAATTGGTGGTCTCCATTGGTTATACTCAGCCCATAGTTTGTTTAACTTGTTGTAATATTCAATCATGTTCATTTCTCCTTGTTTTACAAGTGTTAACTCTCTTCTAAGTTGATAAACCAGTGAACCCTTAATCTTCCCACAGCGAAGTGCAATTATATCCCACAGTTGTTTAGCATCTTCTATGAACATAAAACTACTCACATGACTGCTATCAATGGCATTCAAAATCCAAGAACGAATCATACTATTAGCCCTAGACCACCTCAAATGTGCAATTGTGTTCTCTGGTGGTTTGATACAGGTGCCAGTAACAAATCCTAGTTTCGCCTTAGCATTTAAAGTAGTAACCATAGCCATGCACCAAATTAGATAGTTTGAAGTATTGAGAGCAGTACTCACCAAGATCATTCCCAAATTATCAGAGCCGTGAATCTGTACTTGTTCCTCCACGTAAAGCTCTGCCTCTCAATCAATTCTTTGTTGCCGATAGATTTCCTGATCAATCCTGTCTGTTCTTACTCGATCGTTATCAGATCGAATTTCCTCTGCTTGCAGCTGTTCATCGCGATTTGCTTCGAGTCTGAAAGTTTCCATGATTTTGAAAATTGTTTATGAGGTTTTGTTGCGGAAGCTATGTGGAATAAGATTCTCGGCTCAGATCAGGCAGGATCACTCCTGCTCTGATACCAAGAGCGAGGTATCAATCTAGGGTTTCAGGTAACGGGGAGAGAAGAAAGGGGGAAGAAGAAAGATATCTTTTCAATATTTGGGAAAAATGAATTTCATTCACCAAGTCAACTCAATAATTGGGTCTCTGTCCTATTTATATACATGCCCAATACAATAGTAAAGCATGAATGACTAATTTGCCCTAAACCATCAGTATACACAATTCTTAACTCAAGGGTACATCTGTCCAACTGCACACTTCTACATTATTTACAGCATTGCCTATTGATTTGTACACTTCATGTGTATATAACGAATTTACAACTTAGGAATCAACCAATAATTCCTTCAGTTGACGATAAGGTTTGAGATTTTTATAAGGCCAACGTTATTGCAAGAGAAAATAGTAAAATCCAGATCAATAAATTGCTCTCTTACCTATTTTATCCTCAATTGGTCAAAACTATATCTCTATGATGATGTGCTAATTTTTTTGCTCCATTTTGTTTCTCGTTCTTTGGCTACTAAAACAGTGTTGTAGTTCATTTTCTTCAGCCATTCTAAACAGCTCTAGAGCCAGAGTAACAAAACGGGAAAATAAAAAGGATTTGATTGCATATTCTTTGCCTTCGATACCTTCTCCCCCATAATGATTTTCGAAGTCTAAATAATCTGCATCGCAGTTTTATTAATGCCCTCTAAACGAACTGTAAGTTGAGAAAAATCTCCGCCTCCGTAGATATAGATCTCAATAGCCCAAAACACCAGTTGCATTGAAGTCACTAGAAATGTTTGTTTCTCTCTTTGATATTTGGGGCTCTTCTCGATGATGGTAGGGTTCTATTTACCCAAAATGGAACAAAAGAAACCCGATTATTTGATTTTCGAAAATTGGCTTGAAAGTGAGTCATCTTAATTAGTTATAAAAGAAACACGATAGTTTGATTTTTAAGAGGCAAATAAGAAAGAAAATTGCTAGAAAAAGTGTTCTACTTTATGTTCAATCTTAAAATTCCAGAAATTATTTGGTTTAATTAAGATTCCCGCTCAATTGATGAAAACTTTGGCAGTTCATTCTTATAAACTGGAAGTCAAATGGTGTCGTAATTAAAGAGGACTAATTAAAAGAATGAATGAATCGGTTGTATATCACTCGCCTTTTTTAAGGATATGATGGAAATTCGTGTATGTATTAATATGGAAAGTAATCAATTAAGCCAATAGTTTCATTAATGGTATTGATATATATATATATATATGTATGTATATATATGTATATATATATATCACACTCATTAATGTTGTATATAGATTTCTTATATGAATTATATTAATTTGATTATTAGAAAGGTAAAAAAAAATATATTAAAATTGTGCTATTAATTTTTTAATTTTAAAATGTAACATTTGATCCTTTTACATTTTAATGAAACAGAGTTGTGATGACCACTTAGATCCCAAATAATCTCTTTATATATATATAAATATTTATATATAATATATATATGTATATATATATTCTAACTTTTTGAATGAGAAGAAAGAAGGAAGGGGGATATTGAAGAAGAAGACTTTTTCGATATTCTACTTTTCAAGAGGGAGAAGGAGGAAAAGGGAAAAATAAAAAAAAGCCTTAGATTTTCAATCAAGCTCCAGTTCTCAAACTTCTCTTTACTTTGTCTTATTCACTCAAGTGGTTTGTGAGATAATCTCTTCAATTGTACTGTAAAAGAATTTCGATGAAATTCGATGAACGTTGAATTATTTAATATTTTATGAATACTAGCAAATTCATTTAACCAACCCATGTTCTACGAATTCATTTAAAGCTTCATTTACACTTGCATGTTCTATACTTGCAAGTGGTTTGATTTTATAGATTATTTTAATTTTAATAAGTGAAATTTTAATCCCAAAATTATTTTTTAAATTTTAATAAAGTGATAGTATTTTTCTTACAGTGAATTGTAATTTACTAGTGGGGGATAGCGGCGACTTGTCTTGACATATTTGCTAGTACGGCGATAATTTACTTGGCGAGGTTTGCTAGCATGCGGTTGTTCGCTGGTTTGGTGATTATATAATAATCAGTCATCCATTGTAAATATAAGATAAATTTATGTAGGTTTATAGCAATAACATGAAATGGTATTGTGGTCAATTATAAGTTGTGTTTTCTTGGTCGTATCTTTCTTTTATCAATCATGAATATTCACTAAGTTAATGTAACCAAATGTTACAAATACACTAATGACAAGTGTATCTAGATGTCTACTATATATCATTTCTTGTTTTCGATTTTCCAATGCATAAAACATCTAACATTTAGTTCCTTGGAAGTTGGAACCATTCTAAAGTGACAAAAAAATAACAATTAAATACTCAAAATTATTTAGTAATGGTTTTGAAAGGCACATTGGTCTTATAGGGGATGTTTGGGCATGTGATTTTAAAACAGTGCCTTATATATCATACCATTTTAATTATTTTTAAAAAAGTGTGGATAAATAAATGAGTGTGTTGTTAAGCAGTATTCTGAGTTTTTTACGCCTTTTAGTGTGTGAGTTTTCTCTGTAGCAGTTGAGAGTGAAAATGAGTCTCCCTCCCCATCTTTCTCCCGTACAATTCTTATCGTAATCCAATTCCTTTTCACTTCTGTAAACCTTGTTTTCAATTCCTATCATTCAATTCCCCTTCCCCATCGGAAAATTTCTGTGTTTATATAATTCCAATCTTGTGTTTATCGTCTCAATTATCTATTCTATTTAAAATAAAATAAGAAAAAATTTCTTACAAAAAACAAAACAATTGTTCCTCTAATTATCTCTGTCTACTCTGAATTTCCTTTGCCTATTAGGACTCTAGTTATTTTGTATTTTTATGGTTAACTTGTTTCTTTACCAAATCTTTTCGTTTTAAAACTGTTTGTTTATGTTTTCAGATGCAGTTTCAGGTTTGACAAAATCTTATGAGACTCATCTCTCCAATTTCTCAGACGTTTTTCTGTATTTGCTTGCCTGCTTTCAACCTTTGGTAGAATGGAAGAAACGATTAATAAGTTTGATTATGGCTTGTCACTTGATGATGAGGAATCCCGGAGGCAGACTCTTGATGATCTTGTAGATTCTAATGATACACTTTGTTTGGTGGCCAAAGTGATCACAACATCAAGTATCCCTATGTTTGATATTGAGAAGAAATTCAAAGGACTGTGGTATACCAGATTGGGGATCTCATGTAAGCCTCTTGCTGAGAATGTGGTGATGTTCCAATTCAATTCCCTGGCAGATTTGCGTAGAGTTGAGTCAGGCTCCCCTTGGCTCTACAAAACTAAATTCAAAAATGATCTTTTGATTCTGGAAAGGATCATGAATGGTGTTAATATCAATGATCTGAAGTTCATTTATTCTCCATGTTGGATTCATGTTTATGATCTGCCTTTCAATTGCATGACTAAGTCTGTTGCAGAATTATGTGGAAATCTACTGGGGAATTTCTTGGAACTTAACAATGATTCAGATGGAGGTCTTGTTGGCCGTGTTTTACGAATGAAAGTTAATCTTGATATTACTAAACCTCTTCGTAGGCTGCTTCATTTTACCTATAAGAACATTGATAGGTCTTGTAGGATGTTTTATGAAAGATTACTGGATTTTTGTCATTTCTGTGGAAAGATTGGGCATCTTGAAGATTGCTGTGATGATAAATTGCTTTCCCCATCATCCACTTCTGGTTCATCAGAATATAGACCCTGGTTAAATGCTTTCCCTCCATACAGCCCATTCATGTCTACCTATGTTAATCCAAGGTTCTCTGGTCGAAATAATTTCCGGCCACCACCGCCCCAACCTCAGCATCAACCACCAGCCCCGCCACATAGCAGTTTCTCCCACCCAATCGTTTCAAACTCTAACCGCCACTCTCCATTACGCCCCATTCTGAGTAACTCCCCACTAGACTCTCAAAATCGTAACTGCCAGCCTTCTCAAACCAATCTAAACCCGTATCTTCCACCTTCACATCCATCAACTTCCACTCACCCAACCACGATCATTAATCATCCCCCTGAAATATCTCCAACCTCTAAATCTCATACTGTATCTTACTCTACCAGAACGATGGTCTTATTCTCAGAAGATGTTGATTCGCGCACTTCTTCCCCCCCCCCTCCCCCACTTAACTCTTCACTCACGCCATCTACTATATCATCTCCTGATAAAATGCCGCCCCTCTCATCCCCTGAACTCTCAATGAAAGACATTGTCCCATCTCATCCTTTTGACCCTGAACCTCACTCATCACTAACCAAACCAACTAATCATCCCACTTCCCCTCCCTCCCCAAATACTCAAATTCCAGCCAATCCTTTCCTTGTCCAAATCCCTCTCCAACTTGATACTCTAGCAAAAAAAAGGATCCAGGAAACTTAAATATGCACGAAGGAACCGAAAGCAAACTGTTCAGCTTAACATGGTTGATTCCCCTTGCACACGTGCAAAACGACGACTGTTGACAGAGGAAATTGAAGAGATTACTGTGGAGACAGTGGGGAAAAAGTCATGTTCTGAAAACTCAGTGATGGAAGCAGATTTATTTTGGACAGAAACTGGTTCTGATGATGTTGTAAACCTTCATGAGACGGCGGTGATTGGCGCAACTAGCCAATCCCACCAATCAATATGAGTATC